ATTTGTTCTGCATTCTAGCTTTTTTATTTCCTTTTGCTCTTATTGCGCGCGTTAACCATACCTCAGAATAATTATAAATATCGAAGTACTTTCGCTTTCAGATTCCAACATTAATAATTGCAATAACGTGTATAATTGATAATCTTTATATTTTCCTCTTACTATAATAATTGAATAATTAATAACTTTTATCCTTTTTTATAGTGTTGCTTGCTTAAAAAAATTGAAAAAATCTAAGCTGCGTTATGTGATTCACTAATTAAATTCTTATCCAAATGATTTCGGTTCTATGATTTCGCAGTCTGCAATGAAGAAAGAGAGAGACGAAACATAAAATACACACTGTGTTTCGATCGATTGGTCATTCAGCGGATGATTGCATTATTCCAATTGTTTCTTCCGCAATGTTTAACCGCGGAACAGATTCCATCCGATGACGGAGGTTTATCGGTCGGCCTTGGCTTATGACGGATGAATGCTATTCGTATACTATGGCATCAGCAATTTTTATGCCGTGTATAAAAGCGATGGAAACGAGATGAACGTCTCGCGGATGAAGAACATCCGAAGAGAAGAAGATATCAACAGCAACCTCTGGAGCACCTGCTAGGTCAGCGCATCGATCTCCGGAAATTCACGGCCCATTCGCACCCCCGTCTCGAGACCTTATTCTTCGTCGTGTCTCTCCCCCACTGCTTCCATGTATCATTGTCTTGCACGTCCGGCCCCTCGACAAGAATACGCGGCACAAAACGCCCTGTCCCACTATTGTCTCGGTTACATCCCATTCATGAAGCAGTTCGAAGCCTCTGGTCGATAACGAACTTAGACATATGCTACGTATGCTGCACTATCGTGGCCACCCGCACGTATATACATATATGTATATATGTATGTATACTAAATATATATATATATATATATATATATATATATATATATACACGCACGCACATTGATATCGTATGGAACTATCGGTGGAGTGGATTGTATTTTCAGAATGTCGATACATCGACGATCTCTTAAAGGACCAGGCAACGCGGACGTTTATTGTCTGACATTTCTAAAGGGCTTATTCGATGCGGATGTAGAAGGATAAAGGCGTTCTTTTGAAACTTTCGTCTGCGTGTGAGATAAGAGAGAAACGTGCCGAAAAGTGCACAAAATACGATTCTTTTTATTTTAAGAAACGTGATACTTTACGGAGATCACAGTCACTTTACGCTAAAAGCTATTGGGTGTTATTTAAAAATCTACATAAAATACAGTTGGCACCGATATCCCTTTATAAAAATCTCCTGTATTTTACGATGAATTTACAATACAAATGTTATGCCAGTATCCGGATCCGGAAACGTACATGCGGTAAACGTGTGTCGTAAAACGTAGAATTTTATGAAGACCCGAGGCCACGAGTTTTTTCCCTCAAACATTATTCTTACAAAGGCCGACGTACAAAGTGTAGCATGTAAGGACGGCCTGCGGTCCTTTTATGGAGGGTAAATCATATTTTTTTATTTTTGTTGCGTTGTTGCGGTTAACTTAATTTACTGAAATATACCTATAATGGAAATTGTACCGGTTAACGAAAATTGAATTATAATTAATGAATATAATTTTATAGTTTTTTCTTAAATATAAATATATAAACAATTATATTACGTTATATTTTTAGCCTTTGTACAAAAGAAGAGATATTTCCTAAATATTTCCATCCGTATATTTATTAAGAACAATAGTTTACAAAAATTATAAAATTAATGAACAATTAAAAATATTAAACTAATCGAGTTACGAGTTTATAAGTGCTCTCAACCAACACGTCGTTTAAGAGGGTAATAAAACCTGGGAATGATATCTCATTCATCGTTTATTTTAAAGGCATACATGGAAAATAGAACACAGTAAAGAGATGCGATCTCTCACGGGGGTTGTTTATCTTTAAACAAGAAAAGGTAGCATGCCATTAAACAACGAAAAGAGAATGACATTTACTATTTTCAAAACATAGAGATTAATCTTGGAGAGAGAGTTTAAAAAGAGAGTATCACCGGATAAAAGAAATTACAAATATAAAATATTTTCTTGTAAGAAACTACTATTTTTTGAACAGAGATTTTACAACTCTCTTGCCGATGATAGCAAAACACAAACTTTATACATATCTTGGAAGCATCTTTGTTGAGTGTTTACAAACTTTAAATATTAAGAAAATATTACCTTCTAATTAAATCTTTACGTAAAGAAAGAAAAACACGTATACTTAAGATACATTTTTGTTGTAACAAATATACTGGCGAAATACTGTACTAATTGTAAGAGAAAATCGAGATCGTGTAATCGAGCAATTTTTCGTCCATTTTTAAAAGGTAGACCAAAGTGAAGAAAATATTTACGAACCACGTAGTACTCGCGTAAAGGTGTAAGTTGAAAATTGTCCAACCAAGTCTCGTACCAGCCAGCAGATCTTCTTAACTTAGTCGCACTAGCGTACGTGAGTCGCGCGACGACCGCGTATTTTATGCTAGAATTCGCGCGAACGCTTCAAGAATCCATTTCCATTCGTCATCATGTCGATACCACTTCTTCTCTTTTCCCACCATTGATCCTCTCTATCTCTCAAGATAATAGTAATTTATCATCGAGGCTCCGGTGTCATCCTAGCTGTCAGATTCGCGCGTCGACTATGTTTCTTCCTCTCACAACGATATTACACGTTTCGCGATGTTGAACCGCAAAAGCTGTCATGACAGCCATGAAAAATGTAATATAATATATGGGATTTAACCCATAATCTGTTTTTCTGTTGCAACTTGTAATATTTGTATTAGCAGATCGAAACACTTTCAAGTTCTAATTGCAAGTATTTTAGGAATCTTAATCTCATGCGTATATATTATACAATACAATAAAAAACCAAATTATGTTATTAGTTGAAATAAAAAAGAAATGTAATGATTGTAAAAATATTGTTAGAGATCAAAATTTAAATTTGAGTGACGATATATATTACATTGAATGATTCACAGTTATTAATAATTACATTTTTATCTTTGTTTAATGAAAATGCATTAGTTTACAGTTTTAATGTTGATTTATTAATGTCAAGTTGTCACCTTCATTCATTAATAAGGTGAAGAGAGTAAAATTACATTGTTATGTAAATTATTTATGTAAGTGGAGGGACATTACGACATTACGAGTCGTCCATTATAGAGGCGCAATTAACGATATTCATTACGAGCTAACAGTATCTGCGCCACTAATTTGACAAGTGATGCGAAAACCAGAATATATGTCAATTGCAGCATGAAGTACGGTTGACATCTTAATTATCAAAGATGAATTATGATCGATGTAAGGGCCAGTATTCGTGCAACATATTAATCGATAGGAAATTAATAGCAATCTCTCATGTTTAATCAAAACAGAATATGAGGGAGAATAATTTTCATAACATTTCTCTACAATATATCAAAATATAAAAATTTTTACGTTACGTAAATTTTTAAATATAACGAATATAAATATAATCGCCGAAAGATAGGCGAGAGAGAAAATAAAAGAGAATCGGTTTATTTATCTCTTTATATAATGCTGTACAATTGCCTTGGTAAATTATTGGATTTATATTTCAAAAAATAAAAAATTCAGAACACGCAAACACACTTCCGCGTCATCGTGGAAAATTTTATATCTGTATTCATTCACTCTTCACTCTTTCAAATGTCGAGTAATACTGACCTTATTTCATACGCAACAGGTTTTGAGTTCTGTAATCGTGTTATAATTGCTGATTTTTTTATCGTTTAGTTCACTTTTTGTTGCACAACCGACGTTACACAAACAAGCTGGTCGAGGATTTGATTAATGTCATAGAACGGTGTCAAACTAGAATTTACACGCGAGCTGATTGTTTCTGTAAACAGAGATGCCGCGAAAGTCATGGATATGCATGACACACGATGTTCGTTAAGCCAAGTAGCACATCCAGAATGTTGTCAGACATGACGCTGAAAACGTGCTGCAAAGATGCGACGAAGAGTTCTTCAGCATGCAATCTATGAAAATAAGTTTCTACCTCGAGTCGAAAAACTTTGATACTGCATTTCTGTCAACTTTGTCTATTTAATATCGAAATTTCAACGAAATATCTACAAAATGTTCCTAAACATTGATATTGACTCAGGAATATTGTAGATATTTCATTGAAATTTCAATATTAAATAGACAAAGTTGAAGTATATAGACATATATGTATGTAAAATATTGTGAAATTCTAATATATAATTTATTGGAAAAATCACTCGAAATCTTGAACGGGAAAAGGTTGAGAATTCCAATTTTCTTTTTGAAGATGATTGGTCGACTTTTCGAACGCATTCTCATCAAATCCCAATGAAATTGTAACAAGATGTGAAGTAGGTAGATGGATAATACTCATGTAAAAGTTGGATCGAGAAGTCCCCGCTTCCTCGTATAACTCGCTGTTCCGCATCTCTGTACTATATCTCTGAAAACGCTCAAGTTTTTTCTTCGAGTTTGCCTCCATTCGTGTTGAATAATTGCTCGTTAAGGCGCTCGGGATCTTCCGTCTCGTTCATCTTGGCGGTCCAACACCGTGCAAAGAACTGTGCTATACTCAATGTTTTTTTTCCCACTGTGGTAATAATACTGTTTGTAGCTATTCACTTCACTTGGAAGATGTGCAATCTTCTTCTCGTTTGCACGCTGTTCAGTTGATACTAGCTTTTCGAGTCCTTTTTTCTCCAACGCCATTACAATTTCGAATCTTATTCAAATAAAGAAAGTTTATAAGTGGAAACTTTATAATACTAATGTGATATTTCGTTCAAATTATTTGTATTCTGCACAACGATAAAAATTCAATCCTTATTCGGGAAATATTTATTCCTATATACAGTAAGTTATCGAAGATCATTAGAGTAGCTAGTCTCAACGCGAACTTTATATCAAAATTTTCACTTTTCTGCTTCTAGTGCGACTCTGGAGTGGCCGTGCACAGATTCTTTCACGCTTTGTCTTCGAGGCAAAAGCACCTAATGCCATTCTTGCTCGGTACCGCTTGTTCCGAGGTCACCGAAACATTGGCCAAGATTGTACCTTATTGGAACGTGATTCAAGTGTCGTTTGGCTCGACGGCACCGGCCCTCTCGGATTCCAACGAGTTCCCTCTGTTCCTGCGAACCGTCGCGCCGGACTCGAGTCACAATTCGGCCAGGATAGCATTGATCAAACACTTTGGATGGGACACCGTTACGGCTCTCTCGCAAACAGGCGACATGTACTCCTTGGTAAGTAGGTCGTAAGGAACATGAATGTCGCGCAAACCCTCCCTCCAATTTATCGGAGCAGTTTCGAATTCAGCGGTTTTCTGTCACTTTAATAGCCCGCATCGGAAATAACTTGTATATCGACAGGCGTTATATATTTTTTTTTCTCGAAATCGCGTATTCAAAAATCTTTAAAGTTTATTTCGCCTTTCGAAAATCTTTGAAAGCGCGTGTAAAGTGTCTTGGAAAATTATAAATGGGATTTACCCCCAATTGACCTAGTTTGCCAATTCATAGAATACGCGTGAATATAAAATATTACTGATCTGCAGATTAATTGAGAAATTTCGCTTGTTGTATAATAATGTTGAAAATCGATTTCCTTCATAAAGAACGGCACACGGATGACGTTAATCGCAATTAAAGTGCCAAAAATATCCACTTATAAATCCATAGTACTCGTATCTACTCTATCGCGGCTTTTATATCCGTATAAATGTCGTGATGTCAGATGAAGTGGAATCCGATGACCCCAAAATATATACGGAGAAAACGCACACGAGTTAGACGATAATAACGCGGGGATTTTTCGCGCGATATATTTATCTCTATCTCGCTTTACGTAACCGCGTATTTAATTGCAAACTACACCGCGGAAGTTCGTTTGTGCTCGATGTGACGTGCGGTCTGCGCAGCGAAGTCTCCGTTATGTCGGCTTTAATTAACTTTCGATTTGTACCCACGCGTAGTTAATCAGAGCGTTCGGTATCGCGTTTCGGTTAATTCTCGGTCAATTTCCGTCGTTACACTCTAACGGAAGCTACCGCACATCATATCCGGCTTTAATGTAGGCTAGATAATATATTACCGCTAAAGCCAGAACGTCGTATTATCGGGAATTACGAGGGAGAAATTAGTAAGTTGATGATAATAAAATATTTTCATATGTTGAAAACGTATATACAATATATAATCTTTCAATTGTTATATATTAAATAATTGTGCGATTTTTTCCATTATATTAGTGATGATACTTTAAAATTGACTTTCTTTTTTCAATAAAGAAACTCGATTTCCTAATAATTTTCTAACAAAGCAAGCATGAATTTTCCAAAGTCGAGTAACAGTAATTAGGAGAATTCTGCATTGGAAATTGATGCAGTGTATCAGTTCATATCTGCATCTCGTTAAAATTCATATCGTTCATTTTCAAACTAGATAGAAACTACTTTCAAAATAAATAGCTTGTTGTTACAAGGAAACATCCTACATGCGTAGGCTGCTCTACATCATAAATATACATACGAAACCATAGCACGTAATGCAAGGAAAGTAGTTATAGCTCACGGTTCGTCAATTAAACTGCATATGATACAAACGATGCGCTTTGCCCAGACACGAAACGGCGCGGCGTCGCAATTGCGAGATAAACGCGCGCGAATGGTCCTTTTCCAGATAAATGAAAAGCAAAACTCGTGTCGCGTCCCCGTGTGACGTACGATGTGATATTTGTAAGGGCGACGTGCGAGATTCTCGTTTCGTCTAAATAGGACGGGGACAAACAAATGGCACATATTTTCGTTCCCGCCTCCATGTTGCACGTATGACGCATCTCTGTTTCAGGCAGTGAACGATCTGGTCACGGAATTGGAGCAGGCGAATATCACGTGCACCGCTACCATCACGTTTGCCGAGAACGATTACAAGGAACAATTGCGAACTTTAAAGGTAAGAGTCCCGCTCTCAAACGTCACCCTTTTTCTCGACGAGTCCCCGACGACGAGCATTTGTAGCCATCGTTTCGCGCAGTTAGATCCGCTTCCGAAGCCGGTTGGGTTCATTCGACCAGCCGGTGGAAGCTTCGGATCGTCTTTTGGTTGTAATTCGTCTCCTTTGAAATGCAAAATTTCTTCTCTCTCTTTCTCTCTCTCGCGAGATGAACGCTAAAGTATCGATTGGCACATTACGGACGTATCGGGATTGAATTTGCGCTTGCATGCAGTATTAATGTGTGCGAATGTATCCAATTTTTGATCAAGGAATAATTCATCTTAGATATGATTAAACACATGTGTGTCGATATTTAGTTAAATAAACGTTAAATAATAATTTAAATAGAATTAATGCGAAATTATAACACGAATAAAATTAGTGCAATTATCTCTCTTTTTCTCTGTTTCTCTCATTATCTATTTTTCTTCCTTTCTCCCTTTCGCTTTATCAGCATCAATAATTTCAATCGACGCGTATTAATAATGCTTTATTAAACTCAAACTAAAACTTTTAATAAAATATACAAAATTGTCATTCTATCTCTTTTAATTACAGGAACTGGACACTAGAATTATTATCGGAAGTTTCTCACCGCAATTGGCACAACGTGTTTTTTGCGAGGTAAGTTGTTGAAAACAAAATTCATTAAAACAAATTTTTAAATATGAAATTTATGAAAGATTTTTATAACATTATTACAACTAAAACTAAATTATTACAACTAAACTTTCTCTGTCTTTTTTATTTATTATAACAAAAAAAATAAAATGTAGAACTTTTAGCGCAAGTACAAAATGATAAAGAATATCAGATACCATATTCTTACGAAGTAATTAATGATGCTTTTAATAACTCTCGTTAGACAACTAATGTAATTTCAACAAAGTTAGGCCGTCATTTAGACTATCCATACATGTCTAAAGTTTCTTATTCGCAATGACGGCATTATTTACTTTATCTCTTTTACGATTATTATTAGCGAAAAAATAAGAATAAAATGCTCTTTTACAAGTACGTTTTGTTTTGCTTCAAAATTAAATTTTAAAAAATTTAATAAACGCGACAATCATAATTATATGATTCAATTCTGAAAAATAAATAAATGTCCATTCGGAATGTGCATTTATTCAATACGTCATTGAAGTCGAAAATGAAAAATGCTTCCACGTTGAGTATTACGAAAGCAGTGCAATGAATTTTACGGAAAAATAATATCCGGAAATGGAAAATACTTCCGTGTCAAGTATTATAAAAGCATAGTGCAATAAATTTGATTGAAAAATAACGTATCCGTTATACATAGTCTGACGTTTGTGATATTTAATCGGTGATAAGAATTCATCTTTGTGCCTTTGCCCATGCAGTACATCAACAATTTCCTTTAAACTTTACAAAATAAATACGTTCGGCAATCTCTTGCAGTATATCGGGATTTTACGAACGCTCAAATTCGTAGAAGCAACACAACAGTGATTTTTTTCGCAAATGCCTACAAAACCGAAGTGAAAAAGCCGGAACGCTTCTATGTTATATAATCCATAGTGTCATAAAATTTCAAAGAGATTCTACGATGTCTATTAAATTAAAACCATCAAGCCCTACTTGATTTCCCTATGAAAATGTATCATGCATGAATAGTATATATAAATATACGTATATACATAGCAATCTCTTCTCTCTATATTAAATGAGATAGCTTTGTTACATATCGTGCGTGGATGAATGTATATATTCGTATTTAAGCGAAGTGGAAAGTGGATATCAAATGTATCAGATACGTGTTATCAATAGCCATATAATTCTATGTAAGTATAAGCGCATAATGCCAATGGAACACTGAGTTTAGCTTACCTTCTCATTCCCTTTGTAATTTAAGAGCGAATCGTTCGCAAAAGCTTTTGGAATCTTGTTTGTGGTACGAGTTTTGAAGTAGATATCTGACTCGCATAGTGATGAACATGTAGATGAGACACCGGAATATACGTAAGCAAACAAACGGAATGATCCATTGAGAGAAGCACCTTGCATTTTCGATTATATACATAATCCATACTGCGATCGTTATTTCTAAATTATCAGAAATGAATTAATGATGATACATAAAATCACAATAAAAAATGTAAGAAATAATTATTACTAAATTATTATTTTTAATTGCAAATAATATAAATATTCAATATAAAACTTTTCCCTCTTTCTATATCTCTATTAAAAAATTGCTTTAATTTTAATGAAGAGCGAATAAAAATTCCTAAAAAATTATTATCGTTATTTAGCATTAAGAAAATAATGCAAGTTTTATAAACAAGCACGTTTGTGTTTATGGTTTTTTGATAATGGTGTGGTATAATACGTACATAATAATCGGTTTTCTTTCGTAGATTCTTTATATCCGCACTTTCTTGTTTACGCAACTCAACGCAGCAAAATTTTGTCGTAAACACGTATAGAAAATATTTGTTCAAGTCTTTAATTGAAAGCTAAAGAGCTTGAAAATTGATATGCGAAAAGAAATATTTATAGAACAATAAAAGTATATCACATGTATTGATTTTTCGTTTTTATGGAAAACTGGGGATTGCCGAGAGAGAGAGAGAGAAGAGAGTCGAGTAAATGTCCGAATAAAACAAGTCCTAACTACTGATAAATCCTTTCATTATAAATGAGACGGGATTGAGAAATAGATGTCTGATATAAAACAAACTTTAACTACTGATAAATATTTTATATCAAAGACGTCCCACTGGGCTTTTGTCCTTCGTCGGGTCTTACTTTGATTCTGAATGCCGGGCTACTTCAATTTATGTTTTCGCGTTACATTCCCCGTAATTGTCATTAATATTAATTGAGGCACAAAAGGAAGAATAATATTAAATTTTCTTGCATCTTTGAGGAGAACCCAGCGAATTGCGTCGTTTTATTTTAAATTCACAATAATTTAATTTCTACGTATATACATTGCTACGTAAACATCGAGTTTAAATTAAATTCGGTTCGCTGCGTCCCGAAATATATGCTCCACTTGCACCTTTGCCACAAATTACCAAGTTGCAATAAGTCTCCCTGTTCCCTTTCTCTTTAACTCTCTGGCTCTCTCTTTCTCTCTCTCTTCACCGACTCTGCGTGCACTGCTTTAAATCGTGCTGTTTAGTGTTCCAAGATTTTATGGTTCATTTCCCTAGCTTACTCACGATGTTCCCACAGCTGCATTTTCGCGCAAGATTAACTCTCATATATCTCGAAATATTCAAAAACCCTACTTTAATGACACACGGTACACTCTCGCATTTTATTTATAATACCGTTTTTTTCCTCTAGTGTTAAAATATTTTTATTCGGACATTCTAAAAAGCAGAAAATAATTTTTAAAAAGCCAGATTTTTATAATATAATTGTTAAGCAAACACATTCTGATAATAGCTTACATAATTTTGAAAATATCAGCTCGGTTATTAAAAAAAAAGATATTTTTTAATTCTGGGATTTCAACAATGCGAGACAATCTAGATAATTGCGCGTTTGGACTAATGCGTAATTCCAACATTTTCTCGTTATTATACTTGCTTCATTTTCATCCAGCGGACATTGCGCGCTGGGCTACACAGTCGAAAGACAGGTCATTGTATTACAATCGTAATCATGTGTGCCGCACGTCAGCGTGTCCGATCTGCACGTTTGCATTGAAGTACGTATATAGGTTTGCTTCACGAGTTAACCCGAACCAACGTCACGTAACATACATGACATCTTACGCGAAACATATGACACTTTAAACCTCGACAATAGTACCCATTTCTCTTCGGCTGTCATTATCATTCCCGCGTAAAACTTCAACATGTCACGCGCAAGGATAATTTCAGATTATTCCTTTACCCATCCTATATAGGGGAGAAATATCAAAATTATGGGACGTTCAACGTTAATATCATATTCATTAGAGTATTCATACACGCAAAATAAATCAGCATGGGTTTCTCTGGAAATAGAGAATCCTTGAATAGGGTCCTCAACATCTCTCATATCGATCAATTACATAAATGATGCGTGAAAATGAATTTCCGGGAATGGGTTTCGGGAACGAAGGGACAACCCAATCTTGGATATCAGCTGTATACATATATCGACAATTCATTGATACGATTGCTATCGAAATATTGATCGATGCCGCATCATGTTTTCAAACGACTCATCCGGTCGTTACGTTTTTTGATGACGTTTAATATTCGTAAGTCACGCTCGCGCCGTTTATATTACGGTTACATAGGGATAGACATTGTCTGTTTCCTTTTTGGCACAATAATATAGCGGAAGAAAAAGAATATAACGCGGAACGAAAGATTAATATCTTGTATAGAAGCTGATGGATTGATAAGATCATTTTTCTATAAGCGAACAATAGGATTATACATTATATCTTTTACAGATCGTTATTAATATAATCATTGATGTACAACAGCAAATCGATATCTTCATTATAAATGCTTTTTTATAAAAAGGCACTCTTATACTTTCCTATACTCACTTTTATATTTTCTTATGAGAGATCATATAACTAACGTGAGACGTGACACGCATTCGAAAAATTGTCTTTTACCATATATATTTTCTTACTCATATTCCGATAATGTGTAGAGCCACAACTTGTACTTTTAAAGTAGTTACAATTTCTTTCCGTGGCCATGATTTCACGTGGTCGTGTTTTCAAGTTAATCCAGTTATGGATAATCGCGTTCTTATTATGTGATGTCATATATGATATCTTAGATATTTTACTGTTAGTTATAACAATAACCGTTGGTCCTATCACACGTATCTTGCAACAGCTGCATGAACCGTAATGTTGGTATAAAAAACTACGTTTACGATCGATTCATGATAATACAACGACCATTGAGAGAGAATCAATAAAGAATTTAATATTTTTTACTTTAACTTATAACAAAATTATAACACGCGGGGCAATTGTCAACGGCTAATATCGAGCATATGCTTATTTGATAGAATTTTTTACTGCGGAGATTTTTCTTGAAACAATATGTAATTTCCCACCTGTGCGATTTCAATTCCATTTCTCTTTTTCTCTTTTTTTACGCTTTACATCGATATTCGCTGATGACGCGTATGTAACGAAGGTACGATTTTCCAGCAAAATGGACAAATCTCCACCTATCGATCAATTGAGGAATAGGGATAAGCTGAAGCGGTGCACGTTGCGGTTCGCCGCAATTCTATTCTATATATTGAATGATAAGTCGCCTTGGAGAAAGTAACGGACAATAAAATATAATTCAGAAACCGCAACATTTTGCGATGCACACGTGGAAGAATCGATCATTTCGAGGAAGCACAATTCGCTCCACGCGTTATCGTCTACTGTCAGAATTGTATAATTGATGCGGTTGAATCAAGAATATCAGATAGACGAACTTTATATAATCTCTGGAAATTCGTAGGAGGCGTAAAATCTTCGCTGTAATAAAAATTGCACGTGTGAAGATAGTGAAAATACCCGTTGTTCAATATTTCTTAACTATCAATTCTCTTCCTTCCGTCACTGCGAAGATATCGTGTTATACGATATTCCAATGGTATCGAAAACCCGTACTTTAAGTAAAGCGAAAGCACGCAAGTAGATACCCACCCTCTTTCCTAGTTTAGCTAGCGCTGGACCACAAATAATCCCAGCCATTAACTGTGCTACCGTAAGCTTTTTGCACTAAGGTAACAACTTTTTATTACCACTTTTAGTACACTGGCTGTTACGCTTGTAAAAAACACATAGCAACTTGATTTACGAGAATGCACGTGCTCGATACTTTCCTATCCGATGCTTTCCTTTTACATCCTCTATTGTAAGAAGACGCTTTCTTCATTCATGACAAGTCATGTTCTCGTGTATTTATCGCTAACAAAAATATATCACTTTAGCAGAACGTGAATTTTTATACGATATAAAAAATAATTTCACAAGTACGTGCATTGGCAAAGGTTATAACTTTTTATATGAACAAAAGAACTATTATTGAATCAAGTATTTTATTTTTCCACAATATATATATATATATATATATATATATATATATATATATATATATTGCGCTTCATATAAATTTTATAAAAATTTTATTCTAGTTTTATATAAAAATTATTGGATAATTGTGTACATTATTGAAAATGTAATTAAATGAAAAAAATTGCTTAGAACTTTCTCTTAATAAAAACTGTTGGAATTATTATTTTACAGGTGTTTTAAAACACACACACACGCGCACACACACATATATATATATATATATATATATACATATTTGTATATATTTTAACAGTTATTCTGCGTTGAATATAATTATTCAAATGTCCTTTGTATGTTTTATTTAATCTTTCTAAACAATATATCACATTAGATAATTATTTTTCTCTTTATACATATAACTGTTTTATCCTCATAGAAGATTATAATTCCATCTTTTAGAAAAAAATCGATTGTATATCTCAAGATGAATAAAGGGTATAAAACCATTGAGAGAAAGAAGCGTTGGCCGAGATGCTTTCAAAGTACAATTTCATAACGACGACCTACTTCATCCGCTAACTTGACCGGTAAAGCGAGAAGACGATATAAAATGCCTTAGGCAGGTATTACAATGCTCAAAGTACACCCGGCAGAGCTATGAAACTGGAAAAGTATAAAGAGAATTCTAGAGCAGAAAGACGGAGAATTCCGAGATGCGTAAAGGCTAGATAAGTAGACGAAAGGGAAACACATGGCGGAATATATTTTACAAAGACATTCTGCCGCGAAGGGCAACTTTTTTCTCGACGTTATTTCTCATTATACGAAACATCCAACCTCGTTACACGATCGTCATAAATATTTTCCGTGACCGACACCGCGCGATCGCTTTTTCCGGAGGAGAGACTTCACCAGATGATATTATAAAATCTGATAGGACGCGATTGCGACGTATAATCTCATTCGAGGCCCTTCAGCAAATCGATGAAATAAAACTGATCGATATAAGAGAAACGATAAATTCGCGATCGTCCTCGGCTATCTTGGAACATGCAATCGCGCGGAATCGATCGCGATAATATGGCGTGTACTATATCGGCGCAGCATTGTAGTTTCGCCTATTGTTCGCCAACGCGACGAACCGAAGCGATGTTCTTTTACAACCCCGTGTTTAATTTTATGCCGGGGAGTTTCGCCAGCATATTCCGCGTACAGCGCGAAACGGCGAACTCGGCGAATTTTGTCGAGAATAAATTTTGCGAAAACATGCTTATAAACTTTCTTTTTTACCTTGAACCCCTTTTATCATCGAGCTATGACTTTTTTCAGGCCTGGAAGCTCGGGATGCACGGCGGTGATTACGCGTGGATATTGCCAGGTGAAACCGTCGACTTGACGAGCGATTGGCACGCTAACGTCGGAGAATGTTCTTCCTCTCAGCTGTCGCAGACTCTGGATGGTTTAATCATCGTCAAGAGCCACGACACGATCGTGGGAAACGAGATCAGCGACTCAGGATTGGTACGTCGTTTCTGCAAGATTTATAAACGTTTAAAAGTGTTGGTTGAGTTTATTAACAGATGGCTAATAAAAAAGGCTACATTGAATTAATATATCGAATCATAATATTAAGCTAAATTAATTTCTGAACGACATGTATAGAGAATTTTTCCAGTTTCTCCCCACTTTCTTCTACCTATACTTCTTTTCTACCTATTCTTCTTTTTGTTTATCGTATCCTTTGATAAATTATTTGAACTACGATTTCTTTTATTAGCAAAAATTGCATTTGCAACATTTTGTTAAATATGTACTCGTAAACACGTTGAATGAAAAATAAATGATTATTTCAGCCATTACTGCTAACGATAACGGCGATAATTACGAAATTGTGAGTCTCACGAACGCTAACGAAAATGCGAAAGCTTAGTCACGAAGCTGTAGCAATAATAACCCCTCGCTGCTGCCGCTGCTAGCGTAATAAATGAAGTCCCGTGAGCGAAAATTAGAGTATGCAGGCGAAGAAAGCTAAAGGTCTCCCGACAAACTCATCTTTTTATTCTGCTCTATTAAAAAAAGGACCCGTAATCTTCAAAGTGGAAAGAGGGATGAACGGGAACGTAAGCGAGCACCTCCTTTTCACACATTAAACCTTCTGGCGTTAAGTCTAATCGGTCTAATGACGACGAGCCCCGTCGTCATAACCGACATTATAAGTCAGTCTCCAGCATTCTTGAAAATAACAAGTTATGAAAATAGACAGTCGAAAATAGACTTTTCGCGGGGCCGTCGTATGTGGCTCGTGTACATCACGCTTTTCACATCCGACTGACGTCTCCTCTGCGAACACTTTTTCAATATAGATCTATCTCGAGTATGCCGTGGGACACGACTTCCTCTCGCGATATCATCATGAATAATTTCTGCCGGCGTATATTCGTGTAATTTTTCGTTCCACCGAATGGCAAAGATAATTAAGTTTAAAATGTGGAAACTTTTATGACGCTATTAATAAGCGCGAAAAAAGCGTATTTTTTTTATTAGCTTTGAATGTTAAAATTGATAAAAATTTTTACTAATAGACAAAAATAAAATTAAAAAAATTGTTAGTGCCAATTTATATGAGATATCAAATCGAAATTTATTTTACAAGTGATTACTCTATTCATGAATTATATATAACGTATATAACACAATATGAAACATTTAATAATATTAATCAGTAAAAAGTCAAAGATAACGAGTTTAGCATTCTCTTGAAAGTATAATTGCATAACTTTTTAGCCTATAACAGAGCAGACACGCGTTCCGAAAGTTAAGCCGCTGGAAGAGTATTTCAAGCATGTTGAACACAAAGGAGGAAGATCCGATATCGCATCATATTCCCTTTTAGTGCACAATTGTCAAAGTTCTGAATCAGAGCATAAAATTATAAATGCAAGTATACACTATGTGACACTGCAACTTATTATTAAAGTAGTAGTACTTTTACTTTCTCTTCTAGCGAGAGAGCTTAATGCAACGCATGCAAGAAGATTCGAGAATACTTATTATATGTTAATCTATAATAAAATCGCGATTTATAGTCACTTAATCAGATTTGCTGCTGCAAATTAAAAAAAAATCAAAGTTTATCATTCTTGTATACTTATTACGCAAATTTATTCCGGTGAATAATCGGATTGCGAGTCTCACTGATCTGGCTTGTAGCGCGCTTCATTGCGTCTAAAATAAAGATAACATTATTAAAAATTATAATAACTTTTTCTCTTCAATATACTGCGTCAGTATACTGTAAATTTGGATACGAATCTTGATAGGTGTTTAATTAACGAGAAATAAAATTCTTTTTCTTTACTCTTGCGCTACACCTTTTTTCGAACGAAAGGACGTATGTCTCGTTGGTGCAAGCGACAAATTAAATTAACGTCCGCGCGTCCGTTCATTTAAACAGTTTTCTCTCTCTATCTCGCTCTCTGTCTCTTTTTCTCTCTACATCAATTTTTTTAATTATATGAGTTTGCGAATGTTTCGCGAACTGTCCGACACGCTTCATGCGGTATCCTCGTTTATTTTGCAGACCAGCGCGAACTTTACTTCGGAGCTGGTTCGGAGAGGCGTCGCGAACGCCACGAAATTCGCGGGACAAACATACGATGCTGTGTGGGCCATGGCACTCGCTCTCGCCCAAACCGAGGTCCTTCTGAATCAACAGAACGAGAGCATGGCGAGGTACACGCATACGAGAAAGGATTTCACCTACCTTTTGCTGGATCAGCTGAAACTGCTGCACTTTATCGGAGTTTCGGTGAGTCCGGACAGGCGAAGTAAAGTATAAATAAAGCATCGAGAGTGGCCGTTTATTACGTACGTCCGCAAAACTTGAGAAACGTCACGGAAAAGTACAAAATTGCTTCACACAAATCCGAAAGAGAGATATATATATACCATATATACAATATATATATATATATATATATATATATATATATATACAAGGACGTTCCACAAATATCTATACATCCCTTCGTCTATATAGATTTTTCTTGACTAACTCTAAGTCTTCTTTACACAGAAATATCGGACGATTCTGTCTCTTTCAAACTTTTATTTTTTAATTGAAGATGAAAAACTGGTTTTGACAAATTAAATTTAATCTTACAAGATACACACACACACATTTAAAGTCTCGAGAGATTATAAACTATTGTACTCCTACCTACTTTTCTTAAAGTAATATATTTTTAAAGGAGGACTTTCATAATTCGCACAAATCGATATTATATCATTAATTTATATTAGTTGATGATAAATAAGCGCATGGCTGGGTTTACGTTGCGCTAACGAAACTCTAATTAATTTTTATATTTTATATGACACGATTTCAACGTTCCATCGTTATTTTGCACCGAATTCGTTCATATATTTTTCATATATTTCATATATTCTCGTCGTGTTCGCAGGGACCGGTTTCCTTCGACGATGCGGATCGCGTGGGCATTACAGCGTTTTATCAGATGCATGGTAAGTGAAATAAAGATACTTAAATAAAAGATACATTTGTAAAATGCCATATATTTTTCCGGGCACACAATCTACGAATCTGTTTTTGCGAAGTCAGCAAAATAGAATAACCAAATTTAACGAATCAATTGATGCATAGTAAGTGGAATAAAGATACTTAAATAAAAGATACAGTATAAAATGTATATATTTCTCCGAATGCACAATCTATGAGCCTGCTTTTCCGAAGTCAGCAGAACAGAATAACCAAATTTAACGAATCAATTGACGCGAGCTGAAGGATCAGGGAATTATTGGTTTAGCAAGAGATTTGGAGCACGATAAACGTCATTTGTTGATACAAATCGAAACTTCATTGACGAGTCACTGGCACATTTCGCCGGATGCTCTCCGGACATCACGCTTCATCCATTCGACACCAATGTCAATAACGCCGTTAAATGTACAATAAGCGGGAGCTTACGCCAGGCGACACGATGAAAACGATACAACTGGATTGAAAGCACAGACAATGGCTTTGACTCTAACGATGCGGTGAATCGCGTATCCTCTATCACGGGGACAATTGGCGCGTGAACGCGCACATAATCCAATTTATGAGTTTTCTCTATTACGAGACACACGTCTAGCGTCCCGCTAATGCATTTTGTTTGCGGGCATTTCCGTTTCAGAACCTCGACCTATCACAATTGCGAATTCGCGATACAGCGTCTCCCTTTCTCGTGTTTAATATATGTATATATACTCTTTTCAATAGAAAACGCAATTCTTCTTTCAGGAATCATTTTGCACTTTATATATGCGATCGTTTATGTGAATCTCGAAACGATATTATTCTTGGATGCTCGCTTTGATATGAAGAGAGCTCGAAAGATCAATTCCGTTGTCATCGATATTTCGCAAATTGCCCCTATCTAATATTTTTGCAAACGCTGTCCGCGAGTATCTCATGCATTTAAATGAACTTTCATGATAATTATGTTTCGTTTCAGGTATATTGAGCAATTTTTGATTAACATTAATCAATTATTACAACTTTACTTAAAAAAAGAGAATGAAAATCACACTTAGAAATTATTGCAGAGTGTAATCAATATTTTTAACTAATCTAAAAGAAATATTAATATATACATATATGTGTATAAATAATTATAGAAATTGCAAGATATAAAAATAATGTGTACGCGTAATGATGTCGTCAAAAATGTAGAAATCCACTACGCTTTTAATTATAATAATTTCCTGTTTTATTGCCAACAGACAAAAAAGAACTCGCACGTGTGTGTTTTGCGTTTATAAATAATTGTATACTGCAACACTATGCCTATTTCGTGAAATAAAAAATTAGTCATCTTTTATCGTTAACGCTACGATAACGCTGTAGCACTCGGATGTAACGTTAATTAATTCAGGAAAACATTAGTGGAGCAAGTCGTGCTATATACCGACACCGTGTGATTACCTTTTCCCTGTCATTTCTTCTCTCGTAAACGTATCTACGGTACGCGCGCACGTCCTGAACTATAAATTTAGTTAGTTAACATTGTCGTAATAGGTATTATTTAATTACCCATGCAACTATATCTGTTTTTCTCTTTATACATACATACATACATACATATATATATATGTATATATATATATATATATATATATATATATACATATATATATATATATATATATATATATATATATATACACATATAGGTATATATTTTAGCAAAATACTACCTCTTCAAATGCGCCATATGCACGAGTGGAATTACCCGCATTTGCCTTAGAAAAACCGCAAAGAGAACTGAATGCAGATATGCATCGCGGTAACTGGTCCACGTTTCCATTTATATTCCTCAGAGATAAGCTATTTTTTTAAGCCCTTTTGTCAATTCCGTGTGGCTTGCTGCATAGTTATGTCACTCTCGTATTCAATGTAACATATTATTGATTCAGTCCTTTTATTCGTAAAATGAGATTTTCGTATCCATTAGATTAGAATACTAATCCGTGTAGGATGTTCGAAATTACGATAATCCATTTGTTGCTAATTTTACTATTAATGGATGAAACTCTCGCTTCGCTATATAACAAATAGGCGTGAAAACTTCTTGTGACATTCCCATTCGTCCGGGAAGAACTTCTACGAGAAATCGCATAGACTTCGCAACTGCTAACTTGACGTAGCTCAACTGTACAACTACTAACTTCGTTCGCGAAACTGGCATTGAATTATAAAACTGAGTGCTTCTTGTACTCAAAATTGCAATCAGATATCTCTGGCACACGTGATGTCTACTGTTAAATTCTTATTTTAACTTACATTTTTTTAAAGGCAAATTAAGAAAGATCAAGAGTTCATATTTGGCATTTTAATTAAATTATCAAAGTAGTAATTATCTGCTACACCCTATTCTGCGTGTATAAAGCTTATTGTTTCGTGCTTTCCGATGTTATTTACAAGTGCAATGTCATAATGTGAAATCGAATGTCTCCTGCAGATTGACTTAACAGGAAATCGATATGTATCGATTAATGGCATTGTGTAGCTTTGAATTAAATCAAATACAGGTCCATGCATTATTGAAGTTGTAGAGTATAGACAATATTTAACTTTCAATATTGTTATAGGAAAATATCAAAACCAAAGAAACATTCTACAAATTTTATATGGCCGCTTTTTTCTATTAAAATTTACTTTTTCATCGGGAGGGATAAGATTTATTTGAATCTCATGCTAGTGTTAAAATCTATATATGCACCATCAAGGGACGATTATTATGCTTCTAGGTCATTTCGATAGGTACTGGATGATAATCAAATGTATTATGTACACACGCACACACACACACACACACACATACAAATTATGCCTCGAAAATCGACTCATCTGCTTTAGCCTCAATATTTAATTGCAATCAATCACAATCACGTTAAATGCACTAGACCTTTACTTTATCTATAGATTTCCAATATGTGGCATCAAGTTTTTTAACATATTCAACCATTTACCGTGTAATATTTCAATATTGAAAAAAAAAGAATTTTTTCCTTTTTTGGAAAATACAACAAACTGAGAAATTACGTGAAAAAGTTTTTACAGAATTTATTTTCTGAAATAAATTGATTAATATTTGACCACTAAATTTTTATAGTCTTTTATCGATTTGTTTGTTATTTAGGACAATAACTGCGTATTAGCTTTCTCATTTCGTTGTGTATGTAATAAGTTATAAAAAATATTTTATAAGCTCACAATAAATATGTTTAAATAAAAATGTTTCTTATAATTAATATAAATTAAATGTGAGCTACGCGATAAGAAATTTGAAAGCTAATTGAATATATAGAAACGGAATATTTCGCGAATGTGTGCTTCTCGATTAAAATCCATTTATTCATTATCATTATCAATTATTATTATCAATAGTGAAATCAATGATTACAACTCTTTAAAAAATAAGAGAATATAAACGGAACTATAAAATATAAATATAATAGGCAACTGTCGAAAATTAACTAACATTTTATATAGAAACGTTAAAAACGTAGCGAAAATATGCATAATCGTGCCTTTAGCCGTGTGAAGTAAATTCAGGAAAAAATTCATTTACATTGTTAATAATTAAAACGCTTTAAAAAATGAAAAAGTATGGTTCGGACTATAGAAAAATTGTAATAGACCTCCCTTTTCGAAAATCGAGTAGCTTAAAAAGAGTTAAAAATTTGATATTCAACTAAGCGCGATCATAAAATGATGAAAACAAAATGAATTACCGCTGTTAATAAAAACTTTGTAGAAGATGAAACAATATGGTCAGAAAAAGTGTAATATAAATAATGGACAAAAGTGTGTCAAAAATAGATCAGCGTCTCGTATAGATACATTAGAAACGTGGTAGTCTGCCTTTAACCGAGTAAATTAAATTCGCATACATCAAATCGCAATCCCGTGGCGGTCCGATAACGGGATGAAAATAAAAGCGACCAATTGCATATTCAGTTAGTTTTTTTACGGCATCGCGTTAGAGAATTTGCGTTTCGACGCACGAGGCGACGATTTCATTTTTCCGTCGCCCAAGTGGAATTCTCCGAGAAAGATTTTCGCTTTATGTTGGTTGTGAGAAAAAGGAAAGGAAAGAGAGAAAGTTAACAGATCCTGAAAATAAAGAACCGCCTAAATCCCTTGTCGGCGCCGAAGTTTAATGCTCGTAAAGGGTTTTGCACGGAGTTTCCGTTGTAGGAACACGGAACAGAGCAAACATCAACTCGGTCGATGTCGCGGTTTATATATCCCTCCCGGATAACGCCAGAGTGGTCTGAATCCGTCTAAGATATATAAGCTATGAGACGCGATCGTCATCGTGAATCTCACCGCAATAACACATATCTAATAATGTTTGGCGTTTTATCGACGGCATTTTATACATCAACAAAAATCAGACATTATTAGAAATTGGACATTTTTTGACAAAATCGACAGCAGGAGATAAGACTAAAAGTCTAAGTGTCTTGACGATATTACTTTACTAAGCTAATATTTTTTTATTACGAAAGTTAAAATTGAATTAAATCGAATTAAAATCAATGACAAGTTTAGTATAGATGAGACATAAGAAGAGCAGCATGTCGCTCACGTCCTGCCAATATTATTATCAATGTAATCCGGTGTCAAACAATTTGATATATAAAAAATGGAAATCTTTCAATTTTGCTTTGCTTACAGAATGCAGGTAATTAACGTGTTATTGTATGTAATTACGCTTGCGTCAAATACCTCTCGTCGTGCACATCGTGGTAATAATGCAAAATATAGCGCTGCAAAACCAAGAAATTCCCTAATTGCTTTCGCATTGCTCCCAGGAGAAATGTCCACACACACATGTATTCGCTGAAATTTCCCAAATTTATTTTGTACAAAATAATAACACGCTAATAAAATTACGATTTCAATTTTGGATTTCAAAATCGAATTAATCATTCGGATTGCGATAAGATTCGAG